ACAATGTACCAGGTGTGTTCTAGGCATAGAGGAAACAGGAGAGAGAAAAAATAAATAAAAATCTTGGCCCTCATGGGATTTATACTCTTAAAGGAAGAGGAGTGACAGACAAAAATAAAGGACTAATGGGGTAAATTATACAGTATTTTAGAAGATGAAAAGCGCAATAAAGGAAAATCAGGAGCAGTATGGAGAGTTGGGCAGGCAGGGGAACTGTGGTGTACAACAGGCTGAGAAGGAACACTGAGCAGAGATTTGGAGCAGGTAGGGGTGTTCTCTGCCCACTCTAGGGACTCTGAGGAGAGAGTGAGGCTAATCAGAGCAAGTCCCTCAGAAAGTTGGCACTGCCTGCCCACATTCTTCATTGTCAGAACCAGGGCTGGGAGGGTGCAGGGTTGCCATGGGCATGTGGTAACTGGAAGCCAAGATGCTGTTGAATAACCCACAGTGCACAGAACTGCTCCCGTCAACAAGGAATTATTAGGTCCCAAAGCTAATGGTGCTGAGGTCAAGACACCCTGGAGAGAGAAGGAAACAGTAGTAGGAGAGAGAGCCAGAGAGGTAAAGGCCAAGCAGGGTTCTCTGGAACTAGGAAAGCTGATTCAGAAATTCTTATGGAAAAATGTGTGAGAAAAGCTAGGGGGAATAAATTTAAAAGAATAAACAGTAACTAGCTTCACCAGAGCTTAACATAGAATACAAATTCCTGTGACCAATGACTAATTTCCTCAATATATAAAGAGTTCTTACAAATTAATAAGAAATGGCCTTTAACTCAAAAATGAGAAAAAGAGGGAGTTTACCCAAAAAAGATACACAAATGGATTATGAGGATGTGAAAAATGTTCAATGTTATTTGCAATTTAAAGTAATGAAAATTAAAATCATAAGATGGCATTTTTGAACTATCAGTGGAGACTGAGAAGTTTGATTACACATAGAGTTGCTAAGGGTGTGGGAGAGTGAGGTCTCAGGCACAATTCTTGAGAATATGTCCTGGCACTACATCCTTGGAGAGCAGTTTGCCAATATCTGTCCCGTATGTGAATACACACACATTCTAGGAAAGTATTGTCCTCACATAGGCACACACTGAAGCAAACACAGACGTGTTTATTCAGGTATTAGCAAAAGTCTAGAAACGGCCCAAATGCCCATCAGTAGGCACTTGTTTCCTATATGGTATAGAGTCTATATTATAGACTCACAATGGAATGCTATCCAGCTCTTATAATGAGTGAGGCTTACTCATGGACATATGTACAAGAGAAATGAAAACATGTCCTCAAAGAAACTTGTTCAGAGAATTTAATAACATCTTTCTTCATAATGGCCCCAAACTGGAACAACCCCAATGCCCATCACAGAACAAACAAATTGCTGCATATCCGTACAATGGAACGCTCCTTAACAACAATAATAAAAAGGAATGAACGGATACACACCACAACAGGAACGGATTTCAAAAGCGTTTTGTTAATCATACACAAAAGAGTATGTGCAGTAGAGTTCCATTCCTATAAAGTTTAACAGGCAGAACTGAGCCATGGAAACAGCAATCAGGATAGGGCTGCCTGGGGAAGGCAGGAGCAGGTTCCTGGAAGGGGCAGGAGAGCGTTGGGGGACGGGGGAAGGAGATGGAAATGGGGTGCTGCTGACACAATGGACACAGTTGTCTGCATCACAGAATTGCACACAGGAACTGTGTTTAACCCTGGCTCCGTTTAACAACAAAGTTTATTGACTTAAAACAGAGCCTATCCTAGTCAAACTTCGTATGTCCTGAAATGGAGCCATCTCCAAATACATGTAGCAGGTTGGGGTGTGGGGTATGGGGTGGGCAGTGGAAACAAGGGCAGAAAATGTGTATGGTGTGCTCCCATCTGTAACAGAGGATGTGTACCTGTTCCAGAAGCTTACACGTGTACCATCGCTGGGAGGACGCAGGCACAAGGCACTGCTGACGGTGCCTGTCTTCCTGGGGGAGGAAGGCCTCAGGTCTGAAGTGGGAGGGACCTGTCTCGGTACTATTTGTACTGCTAACACTTTTTTTACCCTGCTCATGTTTTTTAAAATATAAAAATTAGTTTAAGCACAGAGGGTGTGGCTTAATGGTTAAGCATTGACCCAAGAACCAAAAGGTCACCCATTTAATCCCGGTCAGGGCACAAGCCTGAGTCTCCATCCCCAGCAGCGGGTGTGTAAGAGGCAGCCTTTCAATGATGTTTCTCTCTCATCTATGTTACTATTTACCTATCTCTGTTCCTCTGTCTCTAAAAAAATCAATGAAAACATATATAACATATCTTTGAAATTAGTTTAAGTTTCTTGATAGTCTAACAGGATGTTCCGAGATTGAATTTGAGTATTCCCCCGCCCTCCGCAGCTGGAAGCAGGGCCTACATGCTGCTCTGGAACGGCCAGGGGTCCTGGCCTGTGTCTCTGAGGGTGGAGGGGGTGTTTGGACAAGCAGATCCAGGAGAACATTCCTTGGGCTGGGTAGTGAGAACGAGAGCCCTGAATCTCGACACCCAGGGAAAGAAATGGAATATCTGATTGCAGATTTCAGCCTGAAATGATAAGCTTTCTGTGAAGGAATGTGAAAACTCATCCCATGGTGAGGAAGATTCCTCTTGATGGATTTTTTTTTTTTTTTTAATATGAAAAGACACTTTCCTGGTGGGTTGGGAGACAAAGCTTTCAGAGGCTGTGGGAGTAGGGGGAGAGGGTTCTTAGATAAGATTAGGATGCAAGGTCTGCTTCTTAATTGACCAACATTTGGTCTTTATTTCTACAAACAGGAATGTGCCATTAAGGGCCTTATCCAGGAATGCCCGTATTGATTTTAAGAATTGGACTGCGCTACTGACATGATTCCCTGCTTGGAGTCCAGAGCAAACACCTCACTATCCATTATTCTCATTCGTGTGTGAGATGGTAGGGAGGAGAGAGAACTTCACGTGTCCTAGGAGGTGCTCTGCTCCCTGGTTCTGCCAGAGAGGGAGGTGCAGGCCTTTCCCTAAGGAAGTTCTCGGCTCAGAGGGCAGGGAAGGATCCCAATTGGGGGATCAGAGGGGCAGGAACCCTGGGTCCTGATCTTTGGAATGCATAGGATCCGTGTGGGCTCCTGGCAACACAGTTGAGAGCAGTCCTGGTTAGGATTCTGTGTTCAGCCAAGCTTGGCCCAAATGTCTGATCCAGATGCCTTAGAGCAAGCATGTCAAACTCGTGGCAGGCCACATGCCTCATTTATTTGGCCCGTGTTAGCCTTTGAGTTTGACATGTTTGTCTTAAAGAGAACATGAGTTGAACCTCTTTACAAAGTGTACTAATAAGAGGCAAGATAGGTCCTTAGGAAAAGGTCTGAAGGGGTTTTCAGCAAATGGCTAAGACCCGGATGGACATAGGGTGGGCTGTGCAACAGAGTCCCCCTGAGACAGCATGGGGACCTCATCTGGCCCAAGCAGATGGAGGACCAGATGGGGTAAGGGAGACAGGACTTACACATCCTCTGGTCCAGCCCCTTCCTGATAGAAACTGAGGCCAGAGAGTGGACTGACTTGTGTCAGATGTTGGGACCAAGCTCAGTTCATGACTCAGGCTCTAGCCTCCCAATCCAGTGGGTCTCCTGGGGAGTCCTGGCCTTGGGAACTGGAAGCAGAGCTGAAGCGAAGCCCTTGACCCAACAACCATGGACTCTCTTCCCTCCTAGGAACATGCTTCTACTGAGTTCCATGGAAAGGGAGCCACTCAGGCAGCCTGGGGTAAGGGCTCCTCTGAAAGGGTCACAGCACCCGATCATGGACATCACCTACCCAATAGCTCCCCCTCTTTGTTCCTATCAGAGCCCAGGTTTTGTAGTGAGTAGAAATCTCTTCATTTCGGGAAGCATAGGCCAGTTCCCCAAGCCCACGAGATGGGTCCTAGTTGGCCTCATGGTATTCCAATTACCCTTTGTCAGTGATTGGCTTCTGGCCCATAAGACATGAAGGGAATTTTGTAGATGCTTCTGAGAAAGATTTTGCTTTCCTAATAAAAGGGAAAGATGAAGCAGACACTTTCATGCCCCAACCCCACACTTCTTTCTTCCTGCCTTCAATACAGATGTGTATGTAACATGAGGGTCAAGCATGAGAGTAGAGAAAGGCAAAGTGAATGTCAGAGTGGATGGCAAAGCCCAAGCCCTTGGTGGCCTGAGTGAGTGGCTGGAGCAATATCAGCAGCTGTCTACCTCCAGACTTCTTGTTAAGTAGACATTAAATGCCCTTATGGTTTAAGCTACTGTTAGCTGGGTTTCTCTCTTACTGGTAGCCAAAAGCAACCCTGATTGGCACTGGCCATAACTGTTAGTGTAACTCCAACCAACTTCAAGAGAAGTTGTATAGAAACAGCCTATAATTCAGCCTCCCCAGCCGTGGGATCTGCTCTTGTGAAGCCCCCACCCCTCTTGCTTGTCAGCCATCAAGCAGATAAAGTCAGGTAGAATCCTCCACCCATCACACCACATGCCCCCTAATCAGCCTGGCCAGTCCTCCTCCTCTTTCACAGCGTAGCTTGGATGACCTTCACTAACTTTATCACAAAATGTACAATACATCTAACAGACCACACTTATCACTTATTTATTTACCAATGACATTTATGGTGGCCTGCTCTGGGTCAGTCACAATGCTGGGTAAGTCCTCGGAGCCCTCAGACTGGTGTGGCAGACACGCCCAGAGCAGCCATGTAGAGAGCAGAAATGACAGGATGGATAAAATGCTTTGCTTCTTCGGGCAAAGATCAGCCCCTTCTGCCCCAACAGTGTCCTGAGTCCGTTTCAGAGGAGGCGGCAGAAAGGGGCTCTTGTTGGGTGATCTTCCTTGAATAGGCAGGGCCTTGGGGTAGACTTGCTCTTGGCCATTCACTTTCCCACAAGGCCCTGGTGACTCAAGAAAGGAGCAGTGGACTTGGAGACTGAAGACCTGGATTGGAACCCTAAGTGCTACTAACTAACTAGATGTGTGACAGGAGATGTGGTTTCTCAGATCCTCAGGTTCTTAAAAGACAAACAAGGATACTATCACCTGCCTATCTCACAGGGCTGCTGAGATACATGGTGGGTGAGATAAGGTCAAATGAGATAAGTGGTGGCTGCACCAGGTACAGGGAGCTTGACAGGAGGTGGGCGACGATAAGTATTCATTCATCTGCCTGCCCCTCCTCTCCCTCCGATGCCAGTCCGTCAGCACCGGGCACTTTTTTATGGGAGGCAGATGTGGTGGCCAAGAATCCGCCCACCCAAGGAACCAGGCACATGCTCTGCCTATGAGGACTTTTCCTTGGGTTCCCATACTTTCTCCCGCCTTGAAATATGCCATCAATGGACCTCACTTATCTGCTTTGGCCTTTCTCCCACAGCAGCACAAGGAAAGAAAATGGGACTGTTAGGCAAAGGGATGGACATCTCTCATGTCTCACTCACAGGGGTTCTGAGGGTTCCCACAGTCTTTCTGAGGTCTTTGCTCCAGCAATTTCATACAGGTTCACTCATGGCAGGGGCTGTCTGCTCAGGGACCACCAAGCACTGCTCATTCTCAACGATGCTCTGTCCCCTCCAGACATGGCTGCGAAGGCCAGACAGCAAAAGGAAGGCTTTCCCCAGGGGAGCTCCAACTCTAGAAGGACAAACTCCAAAGGAACACTGCTTTAGGCAGTTCACAGCTGTATCCACTCTGTGCCTTCAGGTGAGGGGGGACCTAGATATCCAACTGTGTTCCCAAAGAAGCCACCTTTCCCATACCTGGAGTGTGATCCCAACGGTGTGGGGTGGCAGGAAGACCCACTCCCAGAAAAGCCAAGCTGAGCTGCCTGGGAGAACAGGGGGTGTCAGAGGGTCCCAGCAAGGAGATCCCAGTGAATGTTGGCCCAGACAACGAAGGGACCTAGGAGGTAAAGGAGGTGCTCTAGAGAGCTGTGAAAGGGCTCTGAACTGTCAGTCCAATGGAGCAAGGTAAGGAGGGGAGCTGGTTGGCCCGTGATGTACCATGGGTGACGTCATCCGGAAGTTATCAGTTCAAATCCTGCATCCTTGGGTGTTGGCGTTATACTCCTGGTGGTTCCAGGAGGCTCTGAGTCCCACTCTCACTCCAGGAGCAGGAAGCTTCCAGGACCAGACATTCTGTCCCTGGGCTGGGTTGTCCCTTCCAAGTGACAGGAGTGATCTGAGGCAGCTCAAGGTCAGCAGCAAGAGGTGCAGGCTCTGGAAGGTCATTTTTCACCTCCCAAGCTGGGATCTGATTCCCATTTAGATGACCCTGAGACTAAGCAAGTAGACATCAGAACCCAGTGTGTAGGCTGCCCACCCCAGAGTTTGTGGCATGGTCCCGGAAAGATGGAAGCCATCTGTGTCTTAGGAGTCTCCCTTAATTTCCAAACCTGCCCTCTGCCACCTGTCCCCTGGCTAGGACCTGGGCCTGGGTCTCTGTAGGGTGAGGACATCATCAGGTCACTTTGGGGTGTCAATCCCAAAGCTCTGCTGTACGGTTTGCCAGAAGCTTCAGGAGTCCTCAGGAAGACAGGGGCTGTGTTATGCTCTCGTGGCTCTTCCTAAGTCTCAATATGAGTCACATTAGCCCAGTCAGGAAAACTGTCCAGGTCAAATATGATCCGTCCCCAGGTGTTGACCGCCAGAAACACACAGAAGACTCCAATTATGTTCATCATCATTCCTGTTTTCACCTGAAGAAGATCAGGGCCAAGAGTCAGCACCCGCAGGTCAGCAGGATTCAGAACAGAGGTGAAAGGGACACTGGGAACTAGTGCTCTTGGAGAAGGGGCTGCAGGCTGGTTTGCTGGGCCCCCATCCCTGAGCCATGCTCTGTGCTCACCCTACCCCACAGACAGAGCAATTTCAAAGCCAGTAAGTGTCATCGGTGCTCAAGCATCTCTGGGAAACAGGCATGATGGCGGGGTCTCTGCCTGCTTGTATGTTTACAACACTGGGCCTTATGGAGGGGCATGAGGCAACACCCCAGGCCACTCAGAAAAAATATTGGGGGAGCTGAGGTCTGACGTTAGGGCCTGTGCTCACCCCAGCACCTTCGCATCCCCAGAACACCTGCTGGTTTCTCTAGAACCTCCCTGGCTCTTTCTGATGCCAGGTCTTTCTTCTTGCTCACTAACCACTGCTCCAAGCCCTGTGCAGATTCTTCACTGGGGATCTGAACTGAGTTTGTGGTCCATGGTTTCTTATTAAGAATGCTCCACAGCCTCCCAAAGCTACCCATTAGAGGCTCTGAAATCACTCACACCTGACTGGACTGAGGGAGGACCCTCCCTTCCTGCCTGTCCCCTTCTGAGACCAGCCCCTCTACTAGCAGAGATGATAGAGCCCAAGTAGAACTTAAGAGAGTTCCTCTGCCAGCTGCATCTGTTTACAAGGCCCCATCTCCCCCAGGCACTGCCTTCCCCTGTTTCTGCTTCTATGCCTGCAGACACCTCTGTTAGTCAATCTCTGTCATTGGTATCCACCCCTGTGACCCATCTCGGCCTAGTTCCTCCTGCCAGTCCTTATGGGTTCTTGCTAGTTTGCGACCATGTGGGACCCCACCCTCAGGGAGGGCTTCCCTGATGGAAGATTCTATTACCCACCTCTCAGCTTTGGGAGGATAGTATGAAATGTGAAATGATCTTAAAAAAAGAGTAAAAACTGCACATAAATGCCAATAATGCGGATGGGGCTGGACTTTGGGTGATATCCCCAAATTACATGATATCACAAGTCATTAATAAATAGCGTGTCCCTCAAGATAAAAGCGTCAGAGCTGGTAGGAGTAAATAAAAGCAGCTGCATTACCATGTCAGAAACCTTGAGGTGTCCATAGGCAAACACGATGGCGTTAGGTGGGGTGGCCACAGGCAACATGAAGGCAAAGGACGCACTCAGGGTGCAGGGGAGCATGACGTACAGCGGGTTGAGGCCAATGGAGCGTGACTGGGGGGAAACACAGCACTGCAGTGTCACATAGACAGAAAACAAAAGCCCTGGGACCCCCACTCTGAAAGCATCCCCCTCCTGTACTGTGCGAGTTCCCACCTCCACGCCTTGGTCCTTCTGGCGGCTCTACTCTCTGCCATGCCTCTGGTGGTAACTCTGCTGGACCCCAAAGGCTGAGCTCAGAGCCACCTTCCCGGGAGGCCTTTCTGAACCTCCTCCATTCATTCAACATATAGCTCTAGGGCACCTACTATGTGCCGAAGACCATGCTGGCCACTTAGACTGCACTGAATCTGGGAGTGTTACTGCAGCCCACCTGTGCACACACCTATGTGCCCTGCCACAGATCGCTGGGGCCTAGAGGGCAGGGACCACATCTCACCTATAGATACATCAGTGTATGCATGTGTTGTTGTACACATTTGGGATCATTTTGAATATGGAATTTGGTAGCCATCTTTTTTACTCTACAGCTTAAAATTCAGCCACATGTAGCAAACAGCACCTAGCCCAGAGTAGACACTCATTAAATATTTGCTAAATGAATTAATGATATCATAATATAGTTCATAATATCTATCAATGCATATCAAAATTAATAATTAACATGCAGGTTTACATACACATGAGGGAAGACACTATGCAAAGATGTCCTTTGCAACATCATAACAGCAAAACACACAGGAAACTGACTCAGTGGCCATCAGTAGCAGGATGGTTAAATAAAATATGTACATACACAATGACTAGTTCACAGCTGTAAGGAAGAACTGAATAGTTTTATGTGCTAGCATGGAAAGATCTCCAAGACGTATCATTAGATTTTTTTAAGATTTAAGGTGCAGAACAGGATCATAGAATGATACCATTTGTTTTTTTGTTTTTGTTTTTAAATGTGTGTGTATATAATACATCCACAAAGATACCTAAAAAATTAATAACAGAAGTTGTCTCTAGGAGGAAGCTAGAGAATAGGACTCTTTGGTATTATTGGACATTTGTAAGCTATGTATATGTATTACATTTTCAACTTTAAAAAGTGTTAACCCCAGACAGGTATCTCAATTGGTGGAGCATCATCCCAACACACCAAAAAAAACAAAAACAAAAAACAAAAAAAAAGGTTGTGCCTTCAATTCCCAGTCAGGCACATACCTAGGTTTCAGGTTCAATCCCCTATTAGGGCACCTGTGGGAGGCAGCAGATCAATGTTTCTCTCTTTCTCCTTTCTTTTCTCTCTTTCTCAAATCAATAAATATCCTCAGTGAAGATTTTAAAAATTATGCACATTCCCATTTTATTTATTGCCCTTCAAAACTCTAATTTTTTAAAAATTGGTTTGGTAACAATACATTGTATGAGTGTATAACTTATCTCAACCAGCCCTTTTATTTATTATAAATAAATAATTATATGACATACATCTTTATAATACAGTTGACCCTTGAACAAGGTGGTTTGAGCTGTGCGGGTCTACTTACATGTGGATTTTTTCAATACATGTACAGTCAGCCCTCCATATCCCCAGGTTTCCCACCTGCAGATTCAACCAATTGTGGATGAAATGGAAATCCACAATGTGGAGGGCCAAACACATGCATTGCTCTACGCCACTTTATACAAGGGACCTAAGAAACTGCAGGTGTTGGTACTTGAGGGAAGTCCTGGATCCAATCCCCCGAGGATACTGAAGGGCTGTAGTTAAGTTCTGGGGAGTCCAAAGTTATACATGGACTTTCTCCTGTGCAGTGTTGTTCAACAATCAACTGTATATGCTTGTAGACATCTCTGATGGTTTTCTAAGACATGTTCCCAGCCATGAATTGCTCAAAGGGTATGAGGACAGGTTTCAGGTTAGGGCTCCTGTGGGTAAACAAGTCTCTGGAAAGGCTGTACCAAGTCCCACTCCTTCTGGGAGAACCTGAGAGGTCCCAGTCAGAGGCCCAGTCTATTTCCAGGTTTCCCCCATTTGTGCCGCTTTTGGCACCCATGGTATATGCACGGCCTGTGGCTCTGTGATCCAGATGGGGGTCACCAACATCCCACAACTGGACCCTAAGGAATCTTACTTGGGCTTCTGCCTCTAGCAAGGCTTGTTTAGATGGGCCTGGCCACTCCCTTGGGTTAAGACCTTCCTTTGTCTGGGCTGGGGCTCTCAGGACTCAGTGCTGGAGTGGGAGGTGACAAAGCCAAACCTTTGCTAGAGAGGGAGGCCTCACACTCATGCCCTGCAACAAGGAATGCTCCTTGGCATAGGTCTGGGCAGCCTGCTTAGGGGAGGGGGAGATGAGCCACCTTGCTATTTCTAACACTTTCATCTTCATTTGGATTGAAAGGAACAGCCAATTAAGTTTGCTTTTTATACACATAGACACCTTGGCTGCCAAGGTGAAGTTACCAACTGCAAGGCTGTGCTCAGTTTTTGTAAGTCTGTTTCCCAACTCCAGAATGGCAACCTCAGCCTCTCCCAGGCTTGTTTGCAATCTACAGAGGATTTTCACAGGAAAAACCCATCATCTCACTTGACCTTCAGCACAAGTGCAGGAGGAAAGAACGTAAATGGCATGTTCTAGGATCCCAAGATCTGAACTCAGGTCTCCTTACTCCAAGGCCCCAGCTCTTCTTGTACCACCTGGAGGTCAGTATTGCCATATCATGAGTGACAGCAGCAAATGCACAAAAAGATCACAGCTGATTTTCCTATTGGCTCTGCTTTCTTCTAAGTCCCAGCTCAGCAACATGCTTGACCACAGTGCACTAATTCCTGATCCCGGGGCTCAATGCAAGGCTTCTGGGGGTCTTTAGTCATGTACTCACTTCCTTTCTTTGGACTCTCCACCTTCCAGAATTTCCTCTCCCCCAAACCATTCCCAAGCCCCACCTTCTTCAAGATCTCCTCCTGGTGGATCCCAGCCAGTGGTTTCCCTCTGCGCTGTAGTCCTCCTGCACACCTGAGCTACATTCTCAGAGACCCTCTATCATTCCCTCATGGCATTGGTCCACTCCTCCTTGGCCCAAGTTTTGTCAACCCACCTTAAAAAATAGGCAGTTATTTTATAGATTATGAGCAGCTGGCTTATGCTTAATGCCTTGGCCAGCATGAAGGATACAAAAAAGAACCAGCAAAACATTGAGGGTAGGCCCAAGGTCATCAGAGGCACACAAGTCCTATCAGAGGTAGGGCCAGAATCAGGGCTGGAAACCTTGGTTGGGCTCTGGCCCCTGATTTCACAGCCTTGCTAAGAACTTAGGATATAGTCACGGGTTGGTAACTTCTTATGAAATGATGGCTGAGCCTCCTTCTCCCCCAGTAGGATTACTTACCATGGAGGCAAAGATGGGCAGGAACAGGGTGGTGGTGGCTACGTTGCTTGTACACTCCGTGAATACAGCAATGAGCAAGGACAAGATCAAGGAGATGGCTGCTGGGGGCAGAACGTGCAAGGGCTCCATCTGCTTCCCCATCCATTCAGATAGCCCTGAGGCCTGGAAAGCACCACGATGGCAGTCACTGAAGGGCTAATAGCTAAAGTTCCTCCAGGGCCTGGAGAGACCCTCATCTTTCTCTAGGGTGTTTAGCCTCTCCCCTCCTTCCTGTTCTCCCTGCATACATTCCACAGGTGAGCTCATCCATGCCCACAATTTCAATCTCCATCCTTGTCCTGCTGTGTCCAAAATCTATATTTCTATCTCAGCTTCTCTACTATCTAAACATCAACATCCATGCTCCTAAAAATTTCCACCCAGATGTCCATGAACGTGTTAGACTCAACATGCCCCAACCAGCATTTATCCTCTCTAGCTCAGACTCCACTGCTCCTCCTAGCTCCCAAGGTTGGTGCATGGACTCACCATCTACCTGCTGTCCAACCTAGAAGACCAGGGGTCATCCTAGGAATCTCTGTCCCCCTCATTCCTTCCACTCAGTCACCAAGCCACCCAAAACATCTCATGTCTATTGTCTCCTCTCAGTCTCCCATAGTCCTTGAAGCTCAGGAGAGAAATTTGAACATTCATGTTAGGATCTGGATTTGGTGCTTTGGGCTGAGAAGAGATTGTCCAGGGGAGAGAATGAAAAATGAACAGAGAAGATACCAAAGGCAGAGCCTGGAGGAACATCAAATTTAAGGGAGAACAGAAGAAAAGTCAGTAAAGAAGCCTGAGCAGGAATAGTCAGAGTTAGAAGGAAACCAGGAGAGAATGGCATCTTGGGGACCAAAGGAGGAAGAAGTTTCAAGGAGAGAATGATCCATGAAGTCCAGTATTGAGGTTGAGTTGGATGAAAGCTATAGAGCATCTACTGGTCTCTCTCAACTAGGCCCTGCCTAGGTCTCCACTCCGGACATCTAAATGATTATCCCCAATTGGAGTTCTGATGAAGTTGCTCTCTGGCCTCAACCCTTCAGTGGCTGCCCCCTGAATTCAGTCCCTGCAGAATTAAGTCCACACTCCCTATCTTGAATTCAAGACCTTCATAGAGTGGCTTCTGGGAGCCTCAGCAGCCTCATCTTCTGATCCTCAGCCAGGTACTACACACATTTCTTTACCAATGTGTCACTACTTCCCCAAATGCTCTTCATATATATGCCCCTCTCTAGTCGGTGATGATCCTGTAAACAGGACCCTATTTCAATCTCCTCTGTAAGTCCCATGCCTGGACTAACAGGACCATAATAGAAATGTTTGGTGAAATGAATGAATGCTAGGTGGATGGATGGCCGGATAGAGAAGTGACTACCGTATTTTCTGGCGTATAAGACAACACTGTGTTCTATAATAGTAAAAAGCCTGCTCAGATTGGCCAGAGTCAGAGAGGCGGTCTATTAAAAAAAGAACTGGTGTTGCCTCGGAAGTGGGGGGTAGTCTTATACAGCTAATATAGGCCTAAACCTATGTTTTAACTGTAAAATTAGGGGGTCGTCTTACACGCCGGAAATATATGGTAGATGGATGGATTTGTTCATCCAAAAATATTGATGCTCCTGCCATGCATCAGGCTCTGTTCCAGATGTTGAGGAAACAGAGTAACAGGATAGACCCAGTCTATCTATCACATTCCATTCCTGGATGGATGGACAGATGGACAGGTGCATGAATGCAAGGATGATAACTGGCCCATCTCTCCCTCTGTCTCATTTATTCCCCTATCAGTGAAGGGGGAGAGGTAAGAAAGATACATTTTTTAGGTGGTTTTTCCCAAAGGCTGTTCCTCTCCTTCTACACTGCTATACACTTAGCTAGAGGAAAATTTAAACTGGCAGCCATATTAACAAGAGTTCAGGAAGTAGAAGAACCAAAGGTAATGGTGGAGATATCTACAAGGACTTGAGAGGAGGATTTCCCTAAAAGAAATCAGAGTAAAGATCCCTATTGCCAAATCTCAAAGGAGACCCCACAGCATCCTCTGCCTCCCTTGGCTAACCCGGGGTCACCTATATTCACTGTTTCTACAATCACTCAAAGAGTATTTCTCTAGTCTAGGCACTACTCATGGCCCAGGGTTCCTAGATACCAGGTTAGAGTCCCTGTTCTTGAGAAATGTGGAGTTAGTGGAGGGGACTGGCAGAGAACCAGCCCAGAGTGCAAGGGTACAGGGGTGCAGGGGTGGATTAGTTCGTTGGCCATTATCTTGGTAAAAGAATGGGGCCCCGGGCAGCCCACAGCTGGGGAAGTTACCTCACATCCTTTAGCCAGAGCAAATCCACCTCCCAGAAGCAGCACAATGCCCCAGGGAACTCTCTCCTGGGTCACCTTCCAATCCAGCAGTGCAGGCGGATAAAATGGAGTCTTCCTTTCTGAGAAAAAGAAAAAACAAAAAGAAAGAAAAATACACATGCACAATCCAGAGCAGTCTTATGAAGCCCAAGACATCTGATTAGGGGAATAAAAGCCTGTGTAGACTATAAGTACCATCTCATACCTACAAATTAGCTAAATTTTACAATAATTATTGCACTCATTGCTGGTGAAAATATGGCAGCATTATAAATTGGTGCAATCTTTTTGGAAAGCAATTTGACATCACTACTAGAAATTTATCCTAAAGAAGAAATACCTTAATTTGTAATAATGAAATTTCAAAAGAACCAGACCCGTAATAGGAGAATAGTTACAGCCCCCTGACTCAATACAATGCCATTATTAGGGAACATAAGTTTGAAGACTCAGGAAAGAGCAGGAAATGTCTATAGAGTAATCCAATCAAATACATGAAAACAGAAACAGGATTCAAATGGTGTGTTTTCCATTATAGTCATGTAATATTTGTGCTTATTAGTAAATTCTGGGAGGAGAGAGAAACCAAAAAAGTACTGATGGTGTTATGGGAAATTCGAAACATTTTTCTGTTCCTGTTGTAATATTAATACAATTTCAAATCTTTAAAAAGCAAAAGAGATTTTGCCCTAAACAATACGCAGGGAGGCCCTGACAGGTTTGGCTCAGTGGATAGAGCATTGGCCTTTGGACTGAATGGTCCCAGGTTTGATTCTGGGTAAGGGCATGTACCTTGATTGCGGGCACATCCCCAGTAGGGAGTGGTCAGGAGGCAGCTGATCGATGATTCTCTCTCACTGATGTTTCTAACTCTCTACCCCTCTCCCTTCCTCTCTGTAAAAAATTAATAAAATATATATATTTAAAAACAACAATACCCAGGGAAGGCTTGAAAAATTCCCTTTGCCCAGACTGTGCAATCTTGCCAGTCCTCTTTGATGGTGTGGGCTTTTCTCCCTCCTAAGCCCAGGGACTTCCATGGAGAGCCTTTGCTACCAGGCCCCCAACCCTGATGAATGCAAGGCCAAGACAGGGGCATTACCTTCCTCAGTCTGCTTGCAGAAGTTGAACTTGGGCTTCTGCGAAGGCACAATGAATAGCAATATGGCCACGAAGATGGCCACGGTGGCGTCGGTGACATACCTAGATGGGGAGAGCACATGGATGAGCCAACTCAGCTGCAGGAAGCCATGCCACAAACCTGTGCCTCGTCTATGTGCTCCTGCACGAAGAAGCAGGCTCAGCTAGGCATGCAAACTGGCACTCCAAAGGCCAAGGTCAGGAGCAGACTGAATCTTGGATGGAAATCAAGACCCCCCATCTTTGGCCTGGCTCTGCTACCAACACTGGGCAACTCTGAGCAGCTCACTTCACTCTCACTTTCTGTGTTGTCCCATGGGTGAACGTCATGACCTCTTCTAGGCCAGATTCTCTAGAAATCTGGGTTCACCGGGTGTTCACCAACAGACCTTTCAAAAATATCAGTAGCCCTCGCCCTGTTGAACAGTAGTTAGAACATTGGTCCACCCACCAAATGGTCACAGGTTCAATTCCCAGTCAAGGGCACAAACCTGGGTTGCAGGTTCCATCCCCACCTGGTTGTTGTATCTCTCTCACATTGAAGTTTTTCTCTCTCCCTTTCTCTCTCCCCCCACCCTCCCTTCCACTCTCTCTAAAAATCAATGGTAAAAATATCATCAGGTGAGGATTAACAAGAAATAAATAAAAATTAAAAATGGAATAAACAGTAACAGGCAGCTGTCTCCCAACCCACTTCCAGGACATGCACGTTTCTCAGCCTTTCCTTCATAACATCTTAGCCAGAAGAGAAACTACGTATACCCCCTTCTGCCAAGTTTCTACTAAAGAAGCATCTGGACCCCAGCATCCGTGTCTTTAGAAAGTTGCCCAGATCTAAAGAAAGATGAGGGGAGAGATTTGGAGCCCAGAGCTTTGGGAACCTCACTCCAGCCCAACAAGTCTCTCTTGACCACCAGCCTGGCCAAGGATTTTCTGCTTAACCTGTTGGGGAAGGAGCGACCACAGGCACATATCTGTGGGCTTGTCCTTAAGATTCATGAGGAACAACTCAGTTGGGAAAACAACAGAGTGCTTCAAAACTCAACTCCAGAACAAGGAAGGACATGGCAGGCGCTGCAGAACCAATGACTTACTTTGTCTCGCCCTCCATCCAGGCGACTGACATCCAGCCAGGCATGAAGCCTGGGTCCCGGGAGAACCACAGGGTGACCAGCAGGAGAAAACAGAGCAGGACGTTGATCTCAGCGAAAGAGCAGGGTCCCAGCTTCCTGTACTCTTCCTGTAACATCTCGTAGGCAGCTTTCTCGCTATTCTTTTTCTCCAGACTACAGCCCCAAACCTTTTTAAAACTAGAGGATACAAAGAAATAGAAGCAGGGAACAGATCATCAGGGGATGTAGGGGTGTGGGCACAGGCTCCAGAGCCAAACTGCCTGTGTTCAAAGCTCAGTCCCACAGTTTCCAAGTGACACGGCCCTGAGCAGCCTTTTCCCTCTCCATGCCTCAGTTCCTTACTTATAAACTGGGAATAATAAGAGCACCTACCTCCCAGGTTGATGTGAAGATTAATTAATATATGTAGAGTCATTAAAGTTGCATCTGTGATTTAGTAAACACCTAACAGACGTTGGTCATTATTATTCCTACTAGAGGCCAGGTGCATGAAATTTGTGCACAGGGGCGTGTGTATCCCTCAGCCCAACCTGCACCCTCTCCAATCTGGGACATCCCTCTCACAGTCCTTCTGGCTTCCAACTGCTTGCCTGCCTGCCTTCCTGATTGTCCCTAACAGCTTCTGCCTGCCAGCCTGATCACCCTCTAATCCTCCCCTGCAGGCCTGGGTCCCCCCCAACTGCCCTTCTCTACAGGCCAGGTGACCCCTAACTGCCCTACCCTGCTGGCCTAGTCACTCCAACTGCCCTCCCTTGCAGATCTGGTCCCTCCCAACTGCCCTCTCCTGCTGGCCATCTTGTGGCGGCCATCTTGTGCCCACATGGGGGCAGCCATCCTATGTGTTGGAGTGACAGTCAATTTGCATATTACTCTTTATTAGATAGGATAGATGCCTAATACACTGGTGGGGGATGGCTGGTTTGCCCTGAAGAGCGTCCTGGATCAGGGTGAGGGTTTCTTTGGGGCATAAGGCTACCTTGGAGAGGGGCCTATGGTAGTTTGCAGGCCAATAACGCCCCCCAGAGACCTAAGGAGAGGTCCTGGCATCTGTGATTTATTTATTTTTCTGTAATTAAAACTTTGTAGCCTTGAACAGAGGCCAAGGCCATGCAGGGCAGGCAGGAAGCTTGGCTTCCTCCATTGCCAGGGGCAATCCAAGCCTCCTGCTTGCTCCAGCTCCTTGGCTGCTGCCATATTTGTTGGGTTAATTTGCATACTCACTCCTGATTGGCTGGTGGGTGTGACTTGTGGATGTAGCAGAGGTATGGTCAATTTGCATGTTTCTCTTTTATTAGATAGGATGACCCCATTAGAGGCAGGGACACCACCTGTAGACTACAAGAGATTTGGACCACATCTCCCAGGACACACTAGGCCTAAAGCAGGGTAAAGAGCTACCCTCAAAGCAAAGCTATATTCCCAAGAACCCATGGGAGCAGCTTCCCTCTCATGTGAGGCTGCACACAGGTGGCATATGAGGATGCCCACTACTATTATTATGTTGTTGCTATGACTACTTTGATCATATAGAGAGTTTTCTTTTAACTGAAGTTTCCAAACCAGTTCCTACTTCAGAAGAAAACTTACAAAAATCCCATTTTCCCCTGGTTAAATCCCTGGGTTTGGGGGCATTTTTGCCTCTCAGCTCTGAGCCCCTTGTCTTCGGCTCTAGCTGCCTGTGATTTAAGGCACAGAGCACACGTTTCAAGCTAAACACTTTCCATACTCCTGTGAGAGGGTCCCCTTAGCTCCATAGATAGATGTGTGTCTTTTTAAACCACAGCAGTGTTTTTGAGGTATTTGTCAGCCACACACCAGGTTTTCTGTCCAAAGTCTGGCTGCTGTCAAGGTTGACTCTTGGTGAACTTGGGTTGGGGTGTACTGGAAAGAGAAAGATAAACTTCCCAGAACTCGCACACTGCTGGGAACATGGCAAGTGTTCAGGAAGAGTCTGGACATGGGCAGGTGGTGTGCTGTGACCTGACCCAATGGACACATACGGCCAAGTGGGAGTTGGTCCAGAATATCGATTTGCTCATGGGGACAAGATTCCCTTTAATTGCTTTGACTCACATTGATGGCACCCTTTCTCCCTGGCTGGGAGCAGGGGACAGAGAGGACTTACCACAGGCCCCAAAGGAGCTCAGGTCAGGAGTCAGGGATCAGGGACAGCACTGGAACATGGCTACAGGTACCAAGGCTCAAAGCCATGGGGTGCCCATGGAAGCCCAGAGGAGCAGGCGAGGAATGCTTCCACAACGGAATGGGTGGGGAAAGTCAGGAAACGTGTGCCTAAAGAAGCAGCATTTGAACTGGCCTTGAAGCCTAAGAAGATTGAAAGGTGGGAAGATAGGGAATGGCATTCCAGAAAGAGGGAACAGCATGTGCAAAGGCACAGTGAACAGCCTGAGGTGGCCAAAATGAGAGGGCAGACTGCAGATGATGGGCTGTGGAAATGGAGCCAGACAGGAAGAACTCTATGGATTCTCCTAGAACTAAATATTGGTTCTTCTACAAGGGCATTGGTTCTTCTGTAGGTTAGACTCTATTCCAGAAGCAGTTCAACTTACTTGAATCCCATGAAAATACACTGGAGCCAAAACCAAGCAAGCAGCAGCATGATCACCATGTTGGGAAAGGCGAATCCAAACCAGGAGGCAAAGTTCACAGTGTCTTTGCTACCAGGAAACAGTCTGGAGAGAGAAACATGGGTCCACATCTATACCAGATGCTGATTCCCAAAGCAATCAGGTCATGATGGGTGGGTACAGGATGACCAGTAGCTGGACCCTGAGAGGTGGTCTGGAGCAGAGTCTCATCCTCCTGAGGTCCAGCCATCCATGCCCACCACTCGGTATTACCCTAATCATTGGGGCCCCAGAACATAGCCAAGCCCAATATAAGCTGGAAGGGTGACCAACTGTCCCTCATGGGGGTCCAAACCCTGTTGAGAAGCTCATGAAAGTCATGGCCGTTCCCTCCAGAAAAAGACAGCTTTGTACACACGTACTTTGGTCAATAGCATCAGGAGGTCCACAGATGCCCAAGAACCCTCATCCTGTGGGCTTCTACCAGGCATCTGCTACTTCAGCAGACCATGAGTATCCGAACAGTCATAGCATTCAGGTCTCCCCCACGTCTGTGATTCCATCCCCACCCAGCACAAGGCCAGCACACAACTGGGTCCTTAAGGCTTGTGTCTCTTTGTGGCCAAGGAAAGTTCCAGCCCCTTAGGAAAACAATCTCAAAGGCTTCCCACAGTGGGACCAGACAGGGTTCTGGGGACTGGAGGAGGGTCCCTTTTCCTCCAGGCTCTGCCTCCCATCCCCAGACTTGCTCACTTCAGCCCAAGGATGTCAAAGTAGACACAGAGCTCTCTGCACTCAGCAGGAACTCCAGGGAGAGCCCGAGGCTATCATTACAGAAAACATCACAGGATCAGAAGAGTCTGCTTGTGGACCTCAAGAGTCTGCTTAGCCAGGCTCCACACCTGCCCTCCCACCTCCTAGCTGCCCTCCCACCCCACCTGTCTTGTCTGCACAGGATGGGCACGTCATACTTCTCTCCTTCTCTGTGCTCACTGCATCTGTACTTTCCTTCATGCATTTACACGTCCTGCCTAGAACTCACCAGGCATCTGCTACCTCAGCAGACCATGAGTATCCCAAAGAGAGAGCCCAGATCTCCCCTCCCTCTGTGATTCCAGCCCCCTCCCACCCCGCTCCCCCCAGCACAAGACCAGCACACAACTGGGTCCTTAAGACCTGTGCCCCTTGTGGCCAAGGAAAGTTACAGACCACCACTGTGGTCCACCTGGGGCCTCACAAGGGCACAGGTCACCTCAAGGGCAATGAGAGGAACTGTAATGAATGAGCTGGTGAGGCAATGAGTGGCCTGACCCCTAACTCTTTATTGCATCTCAAGATCCCTAATATCATAGGGCCATTACCATTCATGACCAAGGATGGTGAGCCAGTTTTGAGGAGAGCATCTATAGGGGTGTCTATTTCCTGCAAGTTGTAAACAAGGACCTAGTATCTAAAATGGTGTCTCTTCCCATGACTTTAGTTCAGAGTTCAATAACATGATGTGCCTGAGTGAAAATACTGCACCCAGGAGAGGAAGCAGCCAGGCCTGGGGACTGTCATCAGCTCCTAACCTGAGGATTCCTGAGCAGGTGCAGCAGAGGCTGATGGGGGCACAGCCCCCCACCCTTGCCAGGCCCCAGTTCCAGGGCCCAGCTCAGGAGATGGGAGAGGAGGTTGAGTCCCTCCAACCCAGGGCCCAAGTCATTGTCCCCAGAAGGCATGGCCAGTGACTCACTCGTGCATCTGGCCCAAGAGCACCACGTTGGGTCCTGTCCCGGTCAGGGTGGCAGTGCCTCCGATGCTGGCCGCGTAGCACACGCACAGTGTCATGGCCTTGCACATGCTCTTCCTGTCACAATTCTCCTGTGGCCCCATAGCAGGGCCTTCAAAAATCACTTGGCTCCCTGTAGTGACACACCTTCGTAAGCAGAGCCAGCCCCGGGGGCCGTGGCTCAGCTCCAGCTCCTAGCTCTGCTGCTGACCTGAGGTGGGGATGTGCTGTCTCTGCAGGCTCCCTCCCCGGGTCCTCTCAACCCACAACCCAACCATGTCATCTTCCCTGCCTGCTTTCTCTGTCACTTCCCACTGCTTCCCCAGGCTCCTCCATGCCCAGGGCAAATGCAGCCACTTTAGACACACGCCCTTCTTCCCTGCTTCCTAGCCTATGCTCTGGCTGGTCCCTCAATCCAGGGGGTTGTCCAAATCCATTTTAGATGTCCGTGCCTCCTAGCAATCCTTCCCCTTGTCTAAGCTCCTTTGGTGTCTGGCTTATGGCATCCCATGGCTTCCCCCAAGTCAGAAGAACTGTGTGAGGGGCCTCATTTCCCCACCCCACCCGGTTCCCTGTGTTGAAAATAGGGTGTGCCTACTTCATCTCAGCAGCCCCAGGACCTGCCCCAGGATCTGCCAATGGGGCCATCAGAAGGGGCCCTAAGTTCCCCTGTGCTGGGCCCTGGGGATGGGGTACAAAGAAGGCAGAGAATAAAATAGCCTCCCTCTGAGTTCCCAGAGCTGGGCGCCTGGCGGGAAGCATCACGGGAAGACCACCCCAATGCCTGTGCGAGCAGAGAGCGGATAGGAGGTGTGACCTGTGCAGGGGAGGCCTCTGTGAGGATGAGTAGGAAGAGAAATGGATGAGGGCCCCCCAGTGAGTGCTCAAAAGATGCTCAAATGCATAATCAAATGAACAGCTATTGATTTCTGTGATTAAATGAACCAAAGGTTGAACCTTGCTATAAGTGATACTAACGAATTTAACTTTCCTGCAATAATTACATTATCAAACGTTACAAAAACAGCAGTTTCTAAGTATTTCTCTGAATGCCTGTTTAAATGTGGGCTCCAGGAGGCAGAGAGGTGGCCAAAACTGGGGACCCAGCAGCACCCTGGCCAGGGGCTCACCTGGCAGCTCACTGGTCTTGCCCTTGTCCACCAGCTCCAGGGCACCCAGGCCAGCCTCGTTGGCTGTGCTCGTGGCCTGCATCTGCTGCAGCACGGCCTCCACAATGGGCACCATCATGGCTGTGGTGGCTGTGTTGCTGATCCACATGGAGAGGAAGGCGGTGGCACCCATGAAGCCCAGCATCAGCCTGCAGAGGAGAAGCAGGAAGGGAAGCAGAGGATCCCCATCCCCACTGCCCCAAGCCCTCAGGGAGCAACAAGGGTTAAGTCCCCCTGCAGGGATGCCAGGGGTCAAGGCATGGTGTTGATGGCAGTTCAAGACTGAGTCCTTAGGAGAGGATTATACTTTGAGTCCCTCCCTCTTCCTCCTGTCTTTTCTCCCTTCCTTCTTTCCTTCTGTTCTCCTTCTTACCTCTCCTCCACAGACATTACTGATGTCTTCCATGCTGGCTATAGGGGAGAGGCAGGGGGCACCAAGAGGCCTTTCTCAGACCCAGTCATGGTTCTGAGGAGCTTCTGTCCAGCAGGGGCAGCACAGGCATCCAGAGGGTGTCAACCCAGGGTGGAGGTTGGCCCTATGGGCAAGCAGCTCCAACACCCCACTTCTATCTAGAAGATTCCCACCAACCCCGGACCCTGCTTCTCCTCTCATAATAGAGTTAGCCTTGAAGGGTAGGGTGAGCCTGGGAAAGTGGGACCTCCTTCATGGCTGACTGCCCCACTGCCTCTCTCTGCACACACACCTTGTACTCCCTCCACTCTGCAATGGACCAGATCAAACAGTACTCAGAAAACATGTTCCCTTCATTTATAACACCTGTCCTTTCACCGCTGTCTCACCTCTGCCATCTGCCTAGAGCACCCCTCATGGTTCTTCTAATCAAAGTCCCTCCTCTGTAGCCTTCCTCCCAGTGGCCACCAGGCAGGGGTGGACACACCCTCCTCCAGCCCCACCAACACTCATCAATGGCTGGATTTGGAGAACCCAAATCCAGCCATTGATAAGTGTTCTTCCTTTGGTGGTGAGCAGGGAGGGGAAGAGACTGATTCTTCTCCATGGCTTCCACACACCTAGCACAAGGCCGGGAACAGAAGAAGCTCAGGGAGGGCTGGATAGATGGGGAAAAAAAAACAACAAAAAAAAAACATTCTTGGTCTCCATGCCCCTCTGCAGCCAGGCCTCTCCTCAGGGTCAATAATTCTCCTGGAGAAGAGATCTAGGTGCTGCACTGCACCAAGGCAAGGTCCAAGCCCGTGTCCATGCAGGCTGACCTCACAGACCCACAGAACACAGGCTTGGGTCCAGGCTGGAAGGAGGAGCAGAGTTTTCATGTTTGAGGCTTTGACCTGATGCTTCAAGACACCATGGCCTCAACATAAAGGTCTACCCAGGCCAAGCAAGTGCCATGGAGCTGGAAACTACACTCAGAGGAGAAGCCTGGTAACATGAAGTAGGAGAGAAGCCTGTGTGAACTTCTAGATTTGGAACCAAAGTCCTTCAGCTCTCTCAGAATGAGGAAGGCTGGCCAATCCAAGGATCCTGAGAGAAATAATTCTGAAACCACCGAGATATCTTCTACAAAATGCAATGGTTTTTTTATTTGACCCTGGAGACTAATCACTGGAGGGGATCGATACCACGTAGGGTAACAGAGACCAGAAAGGCACAAAGCTTTCTGCTCAGGGAGCCAGGCAGCAACTCCTGGGGTTGCACCAGGCTCTGTCTGCGTGGAGCAGCACAGTTCCTGACACATGGACATCTCTGAAGGGATTTGCTGTGAAGTAACCAACTGCTGCCTCCCCGGGGCTGGGCTGGGCACGCTGTCATTTAGGGAGCATGTTGCCTCAAAAGAGAATTGCATCCTGGCGTCTCCACTAGAGCTGAACTCAGAGGCCAAGGCCTCATTTCTCAGCATTTCACCCTTCTCTGTCTCAAATGCCTCATCTATAGAAGCTGGGTGGAGGAATAAAACCCAACTCTCAGAGTTGTGGAGAGAGATAAGTGAGGAGATAAATGTGCTCCCAGAGTCATGCCTAGGCGCTGCAGATGCTCAGAACCAGGGGGATCTGAGGATGTCAACTCCATGGGTTGGTTGGAAGCTGCCTGTGGTTGGAGGGGAGATCTTGGAGAGAGGGGAGAAGCTGAGGTTGTGAGTGACATGGGGAAGATGAGGTAAGAAGCTTCTCTACAGAGGCTAGCTTAGTGGGTGCGAGCTCTGGAAGGGGTGGTTGAGCCACCTCTGGCTGCTTTCCCCACAAATGCTCTGGCTCCAGCCTTCACCCACCCTGCAGCCCCTCCCCCAGGAAGCCCTCTTTACATGCAGGGACGCTTGCTGACCAGTCTCCTCCGGATTCAGAGATCCCTTACCTCCTGCCACTCACCACAGGCCCCCCACCATTGCCCATGCATCTAGTGTCCTCAGCTGAGATTGTCACATACCCCACCCAGGAGTCCACCTGCCTGCCAAGCCCAGGTAAGCCCATGGGTAGCCCTTGCCAGTAGGTGACCTGGGCTGTGCCACAGCTCCTCCCAGCCCTGGGGCCCACAGAGAGCCACAAGAAAAGGCATAATTACTGTGCAGGCTTGGTCCCCACCCAGAGGAGTGTGCGCAGGGCGATCCTCTTGTGCAGGTTCCAGCGCTCCACAGCCACAGCCACGATGAGGCCTCCCAGGAACAGCATGTTAGTGTCCTTCATGTACTGGACACACACCTGGAAGGTGGTGGCATGGAGGCCCCGTCAGGGCTGCCTCCTGACCACGCATTGCTTGGCCTAGGCCCACCCAAGTCCCCAGAGACAGGCTAGCAGACCAGATGCTGACGTGAGGGTCAGTTGGGAGTGGGATGCAGGGTCAAGTGGTATGTCTCCATGCCAAAAGGAACCCACAGGAAGCATCTCTGGTCCCCTGGGGACTGCGCTGCTCAGAGCGAGGCTCTGGGAAGGAGCCCAGGGGAGAAGCAGGAAGCCCCCAGGATCCTCTGGGTCACTCACCTGCTTGGAGTCCAGAACCTTGAGGAGTGGGAAAAGCAAGACAGGTAAGAGGGCAGTGACAGCCAGAGGGATGACTTCTGTGCACCAGTAAGTGGCCATGACGATGATGACGTAGGCACACCTGGCAAACTGAAGAGACAGTCCTGAGGTCTGGGCATGCTGCTGCCGCCCTCAGTCTCCCCACCTGTTAAAACCTGGGTAATAATGCCCACATCCCTAGGTGGTTTCATGTTTGAGCACTTTTATTAGAATCACTAGAGACCCACTGTAGAAACAGACTCTTGCAATAGACTTCCTTCCCTTAACTTCCAGAACAGGTTTTCCTCTGGCACCGGAGACGTGGACCTTTGCTCCGGCTAGAGTCTGCCTTCTTCGTCTTCGCCGCAGACTCAGGCTGGAACCTGCTGTCTTGGTCTTTGCTGTGGCCTCAGTGCCACTCCTGTAGATCCCTTCCCTCCCCCCTTCCCCACCCCTCATAGCAGGTGTCTTGCCCCACCCTGTCACTCTTTGCCTGGAGCAGCTGTGTGGGTGTCATATTTGTCCTTCTAATTTGCATATTCCCTCCTGATTGGCTGGTGGACATATCGGAGTGATGGCCAATTTGCATGTTTATCTTTTATTAGTGTAGATTATTAACCATCCAGACTCTGCCTTCTCCCTCATTCCACCCCAGCCTATTTTATCAACGCCAAGACCTATAGCTTTTTAGCCCTTTCTTCTCTGGCCTCTTCCTCCTCCTGCCTTCACCCGGAGCCACTGCCTTTGTTCAGGACACACTTCCTCCTGCCTGGATGGCTGAGACCATCTTCCATTTGACCTTTCTGCTTATGTCACTAGGCACAGAGGCTCCCTCTTTCTCATTTGCAAGTCTGATATGACCCCCTCTTTAAAAGCCCTTTTTGCCTCCAGGACAAAACCTGAATGCCTTAGCATAACTTAGGAGACCCTCCAGGATGGAGCAGGTCCTGCACACCCTTCCAGCCCCATCTCCTTGCCCACTCACACCCTGAGTTCCAGCTACCCCAGGGCACTGGCAGCAACTGGGCCTCCTCTTACACATCCCAGACTGGTGGCAGTCTGTGTTTCTCCTTAGGTGCCTTCCCCTCCTCCCCCACAGCCTGGGTCTGCACCTGCCTCTGTGTCTGCTCCCCCAGCCAGAGCAATTGGCACATGCGGTTGCCATTGTTGTTTCCTTAATGTCTGACCATCACCACCACCACCACCACCACTCTCCCACCACCACTATCACCACCACAGAACAGGAAGCAACTGAGACCAGAACCAGGGTTTGTGGATTCACTCTGTCCTCAGGCCTGACCCTAAGGGGATGCTCAGCAAATGCCCATTCAAGGAATGGACTAGCATAGTTCCAGCTATGACCACGACCACGCTGCTGGAGAGACGCACCTGTCCACTCTCACTGCTTAACATCACCCTGAGAGCACGTGTTACGTGCAGGGGATATTGTGTGAGGACAGAAATTCTTTGTCTGGACTGTGTTAGCTGGCATAAAAAATAAGCCTTCCTTCGGCACCCCATGAGAACCTCAGGACCCCTTGCTCTGCCTAGTGCGGGTTTCTCAGCCTTACCACTGCGGACATTTTGGGCTGGCAGATTCTTTGCTGAGGGGTGCGGTGCCCTGTGCATTGTAAGACTTCCCTTCGAGTCCCTGGCCTCCACACCACTAGCTGGCGTGACACTCTCTTTGATTGGGACAACCCCCGAGAGGGCTTTGCTGATGCCCCTGCTTGAGGGGTGCAGGCATCGATGCTGATGCCGCCACGGGCTCAAGGCAGGAGCCCAGGCTCCACACCAGGCAGACCAACCAGTGCCCACTGTCTGCCACTGTCTGGCTTTCAGCAGTCACTTAGCAGTGCCATGGAGCAAACACTCGTCTCACTCCCAACCCGGCTCCCTCCCTGCGGGTTCATGTCCTCACCTGTAAACTGAGGGGCTAGGAGGACCCTTTTAACAGGAAGTGCTGGGTGAGTCTTTAGTATCTAAACTCTGACACAATCGGTGGCACCTGTAACCAATTTCACAGCACAGTCCCAGAAGCATCAAAAAAAAACAACAGAAAAGACAAGCTGAACTGGCCCTTCGCCTCCATTCACTATCGGGGCCCAGAGACACCCCATTCTGACCCTCCTGGTCTAGAATGTTCTGCAGGAGAGGCTGCGCAGGCAGGACAGGCTCCATTAGACTGGTCTGAGGAGGGGCGGTCACCAGGCGAGTGAGATGGACTCTGCCCGAGAGAGGCGCCTGCTCCCTGGAGGTAAATGAGCTCAGATTGCTTCCAGCAGCGGGAGTGTGGCTGGCAAGGCGCTTAAAGCCCACACAAACGTGGAGTGGGACTTAAAAGTCAGCAGCCAGCACAGTGCCTAGCACATAGTAGGGATCAACAAATACATGTTTAGTGCACAACTGAACAAACCCATGAGTATTAACAAACAGACTGCCCATTTTACATTGCCTAATGAAAAATGAATGTGGGTAAGGAAATGTGCTGTGTGTGTGTGTGTATGTGTGTGTGTGTGTGTATGTGTGTCTGTATGTGTGTGTGTGTGTGTGTGTGTGTACAAAGAGAATGAGAGAGTGAGGGAGAAAAGAGATGGATTGATTTCTGAAAAGATGGCCATCAGAATATTAATAAGTTATGGGATTTAAAGGTATTTTCATTTTTACGGTACTCTGTACTTTACAGACTTGAAAAATATTTTTTTTACTATTTTAATAAAATCAATGATATGTTTAAATAGACATATCATTGATTTTATTAAGATATTTTTAAAAGGCGGAGGGGTGGGTGACAAGAAAGGGCAGAAAAAGTGGGGCCAAGATGAAGCCAGGCAGGACGCTGGCTGGAGGAGAGGCAGGAAAGAGGGGAGTCTGTGGGAGAGGCCGGGGCATGTGCCTTCCGGCTCGCCGCCCCCTCAGACAGCGCCCCACAGGCTGCCAAGTGCTCGCTGGCTGTCCAGTCCCGCTGGCCCACGCCAGTGCCTCTGGCTTTCCTTGCACAATGGTGTGGCCGCGGGGGCAGGGGCGGGGAGCTTGTTGGCTGTGGCTAAAACAGAGGCACAAAGGGAGAGACACCGGGGCAGGTCCAGGCCCTGGTCGCCTGTCCCAGTGGGAGGGAACACCTATCCCAGGAGAAGGCAGCCTTTGGAAGGACTTTCCCTCACTGATCCTCACTCCCAAAGCAGGTTAACGACACTCACAGACACTCGGAATTGAGGGTCCCAGCTCAGGGCATGGCGGGAGAGGGGAGGGCGGGGGTCTCAGTCAAACTCTCCCAGAGCATGAAGGTCAGCCAAGCTGTATACTCATTCCAGGGAAAAACACAACTAAAATCACAGCTCTCCTCCCCATGTGTGTTAACGGCCCCAAACCTCTTTCTACAGGAGAAATATGGCAGCTCGCAGTTGGTATGACAACAGAAGAGCCATCTCAGTTTGTTGGTCTATCCCTGGCCCATCCAGGGCCGTCATCAGCCCGCTGGAGGGCTCCTCTCGGCTTCCCCTCCCCATCCTAGGACCCTTTGGGCACCCAAAGCCATACCTGTCAGAACCAAACCACCTTGCCCATTGTACAAGCAATAATACCAAGGCCCAGACAACTCAGAGGCTTCACTGAAATCACAAGGAAGTGGGAATGAAGTCGGGTTCTCTTACAGATCTGGCTTCCTGTTACCCCAGTCCACCCCAGGCCTCCAGGACTGCCCCAGCGTATCCCCGTATCCCCGAAAGAACTCCTCTGTTCCCCCAAGCTGCCTGGAGGGACAGGGGGCCCGGGGTTTCCTGTCTGGGCTGAGAGTGAAAGGGCTGGAGGAGGGAGTGAGGAAGGAGCAGCCAGCAGCCACAAAAGCCTTCAAAGGGCTCTGGTCTCTGCCAAACAGGCTCCACACAGCCCAGCACAGCCCTCAGCCTGTGGCCAAGGCCATTCATTCTCTGCCTCCCTCCCGGGAGCGCTGGGAGGCCAGGGCCTTCCCTGCCACCCTGAGTCCTGCCACCCAGGGCGTGAGCTCTGGGAACCTGGCCGCCTCCCGCCTCAGCCACAGCAGGCAGCGCGCACAGCAGACCCACCCTGACCGCCTTTCAGCCCCAGGAGGATTTTGACTCAGCCATGGCGTCCAGGGGTTCCGAGTTGGGAAGAGAAGTGGGCCAAAGATGGGGAAACGGAGGCACAAAATGGGGCCGGAGAGTGACAAAGACAGCACTCAGGATCCACTTAGGTGCCTGGCTGATCTCGGAAGCCCTTATAGCTGAGAAGTCCTTCTTCACTAAGGAGAAAGAAGGAGAGAAAAGGAGAGAGAAGGAGAGAGGAAGGAGAGAGGAGGGAAAGGCCAGGCCAGGGCACTCTAGGGGAGGGGCGGGAGTCTCTGGGGAGACTGAGGCCAGGCTGAGCCTGTGGGTGTTCTGTGTGGAGAGATCTGTGCTAGCGGCCAGGTTCCGTGCTTGCTGGGACGGTTCTTGTGTCCTGGGATCCGTAAACCCCAAGGTTGGGGTGCCCCTTACAGGACAGGGTGGGAGCACCTGGCACCCTGAGCTCCCTCGGAATCCCTGCGCTCCCAATGGGTGCCCCCGCGTTCTGATCCCGTCACGGGGACCCGGGTAGCCTGGAGCCCCCGCGGCTGCAGGGAGACGCAACTGACCTTGGTGGGCACCAGGATGATGAGCGGCAGCAGCAGGATCGGGGTGCCGAACAAGATCACGAAGGACTTGAACTTGTTGACATAGCTCAGTGCTGAAGCCATGGTGCTGGGGTGGGGGGGGGGGAAGGCGGGAGAGGCCGGCGAGGCGGCCAGAGGCTCCGCGGGCTTAAGAAGGGGCCATGGCCTCAGGGGCTGGTGGAGCGCAGGCAACTCCGCCCCCCACGGTGAGGTCTCTGCCGGGCTCAGGGGCGGGGCCAACCCTCGGGGTCGGTGGGGCCCCCCTGCCCCCAACTCCGCCACCCTGCGGCGGCTGGAGGCGCCCGCGGACTCCGGAGCCTCGGACCCGCCCCCAGGGACGCTCCAAGCCCTGCCCGGGGGCTGCCCAGCGCGATGTGATCGGTCACTCATTCCAATGGCTTTGGCGTGTGGCCCCGCTTCTGCGTCTGCAGGGGTCTCCGGGGGAAAGTCTGCACAGGCCTTGGGGTCTCTCAGATCTGTCCTCCCCAGCTCTGGGAGGGGGTCTCCAGCAGAGGCGATGGCCATTAACAACCCCCTCTCCCTCCCTTCCTCCCCCCACCCCGGCGCAGTCCGCCCCAGGCAGTGCGCCCCGCGGGCTTCTCCTCCCCGCACTCACTCCTGGCTTCCGGAGGGGTCTGTGCAGCTTTGGGCAACAGACCTCTTTCCTCCATTCCCCCTGACTGCCCACCTCACCCCCAACCACCATCACCCCTCCAGCGCACTCTCTCCCACCCAAGGCTTTAGGCTCTTGGGCGATCGCAGAGGAGGCGAGGCTTCTGTCCTCCGCAGCCTGAGCGCCTGCAGCCCCCCAGCGGCCACCGCGCAGCCCGCGGACAGACCTGTGCTTGGACTTCGGTGAGCTGCAGAGTGACGGGCGTTCCCCTGGGGGCCGGAGCCGCTGCCCTCCTGACCAAGGCTGCTATTGCCATTTCCCTCTGGGAAACCGTGCAGCGACGAAGGGACTTCACCAAGGCTGCCCTGAAAGGGCCATTCATTCATCTGGCCACCTGCCAACAAGCCCTGGGTACCTGTTCTGTGCTCGGCCCCATCTGGGGTGCCGGATATATAAGGATGCAGACACTGGCACCCCCATCCCTTTCTCCTTTCCTTCCTCCTCCTCTGCCGGCCTGTCTTCTCATTCTGCAGCTTTCTTTTGGGGAGTCTTACCCCTCCCTGAGGTTTAACTACAGTGTGCTCCTTAATAATGGCCACCCCTCTGTCTTCAGTGCAGTCCTGATATGGGAGTCCCACAGCTCCCTACTTCCAACATTTTGGAGCCTGAGTCTCAGGAGCTCTAACACCCAGCATATCCTACCTAAACAAGTGCTTGACCTTCCTCCTGTACCTCCACCTAAGAACACGTCTTCTCCCGGACCCCTCCTGCGTCTGCCTGCTGATGCCCTCCCCCCGTCGTAATTCTATCATCTAACTGGATTGCCCTCCCCATCCCCGTCCAAGGCACTTAGCTCTGTGTGTGCCTATATTCGTCCTGGTGTGATTTTTATTTCATGTCTGTTTTATTCAACACCGTATGTTCAACCAGCACCTTTCACAGCGTCTGGTTCCGTGTGTGCACTCCAAACACTTCCTCTGGGCTGTGTGAATGCATGTGAACCACTTCAATGCAACAGCACAACTGCCTGAAAGGGAATGTCCCAGGCTCAGGGCATGGGCTCCGGAGCCAGCCTGCCCGCACCCTCTCCCGGCCCTGCCTCCTCCTGGCTCTGTGCCTTAGACAGGTTGCCTCTTGGGCTTCTTTACTTCATAAGTGGAGAGACTAACACCAACTCTGGTTTCAGAAAGCTGCTTTGTAAATTACATGGACTAATGCTCAGCCAGTGCTTCACAAATGTTCTGGCATATAGTGAGCAATCAGTAAACACTTCCTTTTGCAATTAGATGACAAATGTAATAAATCCTCTGAGTGGCAGTAGCAATGGGGGAACCTTCACCCAGGAGGTAGCATTTGAAATGAGACTTCAAGGCTAAGTAAAAATTTGCCAGGTAAGCAGTGGAAGCCAGTCAACATCACCAATGGATAAGAAAGTATTAAAATTGTTGAGGAAAAAAATCCCCAGGTAATTCAGGAATACTGGTAACTAACGTACAACAGCAACAACAAGGAAACTAAATAAACGGGAGATTATACCAAGTTCATGGTGGGAAGACTCAACATTGTAAACATTTTCATGCCTCTCAAATTAATCTATAAATTTGAAATACAGTCCCAAAATAATTTTTATTTGACAAACTACATTTAAAATTCAAACTTAAAAAAAAATGTTTTAATTGATTTTAGAGAGTGAAAGGGAGAGAGAAGGAAAAAAAAACACATCAATATGAGAGTGAAACATAGATGGGTTGCCTCTAGCACACACCCTGACCAGGGATCAAACCCCAAATCTGGGCGTGTGCTCTAACCACGAAACCACCGGGCAGGGCTAAAATGCAAACTTTTTTTTTTTTTTTTTTGACTAATCCTCACCAGAGGATATTTGGCCATCAATTTTATTTATTTATTTATTTATTTATTTTATTTTTATTTTATTTTTTTTTGAGAGAGAGAGAGAGAGAGAGAGAGAGAGAGAGAGAGAGAGAGAGGAAAGGAGGGAGAGAGACAGAGAGAGAAACAGGAATGTGAGAGAGACACATCCTTTGGTTAGATATCCACCCAACCAGGGATGGAGCCTGGGACCAAGTTGTATTCCCTTAACCAAAACTGAACATGCAGCCGTTCAGTCTGCAGGCCAATGCTCTATCCATTGAGCCAAACCAGCTAGGGCTACAAGTAAAATTGAAACTTTTGCAGGAATACTTCAGACACTCTGGAATGGTGAAGGGCAAATTGCCTATCCGAATTCAAGATTTACAAAGGACAAAATCCCAAGGCTAAGTAAAAAAATTGCCAGGAAAACAGTGGAAGCCAATCAAAATCACCAATGGATAAGAGTAATTAATATAATCATTAACTATTGGAATAAGGACAGAGAAACAGATCAGTAGCATAGAATGAATTAAGAGCCTAGAAATAGACCCATGCTTATGCGGAAACTTGATATGCAGAGATTGCATGGACTATTTGATCCTATTGGCAGCTGTTGGACCAATTGGTTTTTAGCAGTAGAGACATCTTTCTCTCTTTAAAAATATTAAACACATAAGAAAGTGTGATCATCATATGTAATCATTTAATAAATTTATTTTTTATTCACGAGTCATTTAATTTTTCCCAAAAGCTGAAACAGGAGTTCAATTTATGCATGCAAATTGGTTTACCAAAGAAACGCTCTGTTTTTGTCATTTTCCCCCTTCACAAATAGCTTATAATTTAGTGTTCATGATAACAAATGAAGTAATGAAAAGGAACATGTCAGTTTACATCTTGTAGTGATTAACTAACCATAAAGAGGATTAATTCAGTGTCCATCATTTTGTCTCAATGTGGCTGCTTTTAGTAACCTATCCTCAGGAGGTATTCTATATTTTATTTCTTGTGTTTTAAAAATAATATTTCTCAAAATATGAATATAAACACTAGAACATATTTTTTAACTTAAAAATAAATAACTTCCTAACTAAAAAAGGAACATATATAAATCAAAATTGTTTTAGAATATGATAGTATATAAATGTGACACAGTTTTCATTTGCATATGAATAATTTAATAGAATTTTCATCTTAAAACTGAGATAGTAAAAATCTACTTTTGCTATAAGACTTAAATTAGGTGTGTTTTATCAATTAGATCTCAGTTTTAATATGCAACTGTTACTTTCTGGTAAGAATTAATTGAGTTTGATATGCCATCTCTCTACAAAGTCATTGATTTACAAAACCATCCATTAAGCAAAAAGATGGGTTTCCAAAGCAATCAGCTTCCAAAAATACACCCAACTAATTTTTATTGTGAATAATTAGCATATAACATATTAGTTTCAGGTGCACAATATAATTATTCTATATTTGTATATATTGCAAAATAACCAGTACAACAAGTTTAGTTATCCATTACTATACATAGTTACAAAACTTTTTTTCTTGTGATGAGAACTTTTAAAATCTTCTCTCAGCAATTTGCAAATATACAATTCAGCATTATTTATAATTACAATGCTGCATATTATATCCCCTTATTTATTTTATAATTGGAAATGTGTAACTTTTTCTCCTTTCACCCATTTTGCTCACCCTCCAACCCTACCTCTAGCAACCACTATCTATTCTCTGTATTGTGAGTTGTTGTTGTTTTCAGTTCCACATATAGGTAAGATCATCTAGTGCTCATCTTCTTCTGTCTGACTTCTTTCACGTAGCATAATACACTCAAGATCCACCCATTATAAAAAATGGCAAGATTCATTTTTGATCCATTTACTCACTGATCAACACTTGGCCTGATTCCATATCTTGGCTATAATGCTGCAGTGAACTTAAGGGTGCATATATTTTTTCCAATTAGTGTTTCCATTTTCTTCAAATATTTTCTTCTGGAGTTTTATGGTTTCAGGTCTATGTTCAAGTCTTTAATCCAGTGATTTTCAACCTTTTACATCTCACGGCACACATACACTAGTTACTAAAAGTCTGAGGCACGCCAAAAAAAATATATTATGTTTTTTGCTGATCTGACCAAAATAAAGAGGTATAATTTTGATTTACTCATACCAGATAGCTACTGTTGTGTTGGCTGTTGTCATTTTTAAATTTGACAATCTAAGAGAAAAGAGGTCAGCGTCGCTGATTAAAAAGTCGAGAATTGCATCATTTAAAAAGATGCAGCAGCACACCGGTTGAAAATCACTACTTTAATCCATTTTTTTTTTGTCTTTTTAAAAATTTATTAGGGTGCCATTGGTTAATAGGGTCCTATAGGTTTCAATTGTACATTACTATGATCCATAATCTGTATATTGCATTGTGTACCCACTGCCCAAAGGCAAATCACCTTCCTTCACTACATACTTACTCTCTACCACCCCTTCGACCATTTTCCTTTGGTAACCACCATACTGTTGTCTGTCCATGTCTCTGAGTTTCAGTTTTGTATCCCACATATGAATGAAGTCACATGGTTCCTAGCTTTTTCTGACTGACTTATTTTACTTAGTGTAATATCCTCAAGGCCCATCCATGTTGTTGCAGATGGCAGTGTTTCACCTTTTTTATGGCTGAGTAGTACTTCATAGTATATGTGTACCACATCTTCTTTATCCAGTCCTCTATT